CTTCCTTCTGAGGAGTGGCTGGTGGGTTTGAACCGCCTGCCTTCTGGTTAGCAGTCAAATGCCTTAGGCACTATGCTACCAGAGCTCCTATTAACTCTAGTGGAGGGGAGAATGTGCGAGTGGGAACACTCAGGCCTCTTGGCTGGGATTCCCCTGTTTCTTGTTTATCTCGGATGTTTGGTGTCTTTTCTCAGGGTGTCTTGCTCCATAGACCGCAGTTATCAGCTAAGAATGGGCAGTGGGTTTACGTCACAGTCTCTAAGGGATGTGTTAGGAAAAGAAACAGCCCAGAGTGACTACCCTGTGCACTTAGAAGAACAGAGAGGGGAGAGGAGGATAGACAGTTAATCATGATGGTTAAGTCTACCCTAATCACAGCTGTAATCTGTTATACTTTTATAAATTTCTCAGCAAGATGGCTTCTCTAGTCCTTCAACACCAAGGCAGATTGCGTGGTTGCCTGCTTTCCATGGTTACCCCCATTGGAAAACCCCAATGTGTAGTGCTTGGGTCCACACTGCCTGCTCCAAGGAGAGCTCTTTTTCTTCCGCAACACAGCCTTAGGCAAGACCACCTCACTTGGTAATATAAGATTCACCCAGGCTGAACGGGGGATATGCTAGCATAAAAAACCAAACTCACTGCTGTCGAGTTGGATCTGACTCATTAGCAACCCCTCCTTGGGTTTCCAAGGTGGTATCACTATGGAAGTAGGTTGCCCAGTCTTCCTTCTGAGGAGTGGCTGGTGGGTTTGAAGTGCCAACCTTCTGGTTAGCAGTCAAATGCCTTAGGCACTATGCCACCAGAGCTAGCATGGTGGGCTGTTTTCTAATGGTCTGGTGGGAAACAGCTGATGAGATCCACTCTAGCCTGAGGCTTCTGCTCAGTTGGTCTTCTGTAGGCTGACCGTGAGAAGGGAACAAGTTGGTTTTACCAAAGACATTGAGGCTGATGGGCTTCTCCCCACTTCCTTCCTCTTTCTCTAGTTCCTTTCTGTTCTCTGATGCTCCTCCTTCCCTCCCTCTCTCTGCACTCCCTTCCTGTTCTCTGGTGGCCTTTCCTCCCTTCCCTTCCTCAACTTCCTTTTCATTTCAAACCAAAACAAACTCACTGCCATCAAGTCACTTCCGACTCACAGCAACCCCCATTGGGTTTCCGAGGCGGTAAATCTTTATGGAAGTAGATTGCCCAGTCTTCCTTCCAAGGAGTGGCTGGTGGGTTTGAACCACCAACCTTCTGGTTAGCAGTCAAATTCCTCAGGCATCTTTTATAAAATACTGAGTACCTACTGTGTGCCAGGAACCTCAGAGAAAGAAACCAAGTGCATGCCTGCAAGGAGCCTGCAGAGCCGGGTGGTTGATGATGGAAGAGGAAATCAGAGAAGTGGCTTGTGAGGGGTTTCTAATTCTTGGAGGAGGGAGGGCTCACCAAGGGAGATGGCCAGGTAGGAGAGAGCCCCACTGAGCTGAGTCTTGTCTTTGTCTTTTTTTTATTTTTCCCATGAAGATACCTTAAAATTCTTCAAGTTATCAGTCTAAATCTTGTTACTCTAGATATCGAACTGTCATCAGGCCAGGATCCTGTTGGAGAGAGTTTTAATCGATATGAGTAAGACCTCCCCTGAATCGCCCCCAGGCTGTCTCCTGTAGTCTTCTAATATCCACCTGATTTTTGTTTCTTTAATGGATTATAAACCCCAAAACCAAACCCACTGCTGTTGAGTCGGATCCAACTCATAGCGACCCCTCCTTGGGTTTCCGAGGCAGTATCACTACGGAAGTAGGTTACCCAACCTTCCTTCTGAGGAGTGGCTGGTGGGTTTGAACCGCCAGCTTCCTGGTTAGCAGTCAGATGCCTTTGACTTCTATTTATTTATTTGTTACCTTTTGCTTCATGAATTGCAGGCCCTTGGTGTAACAGCTGTCTTCCTGCTTCCTCTCTGGGTTCTCTGTTCCCATCCTCTTCCTCTCCTGCCCTTCCTGCCTTCTGGTTTGTTTAGGGGCAAATGCTGCCCTTTTGATCTCATCGGGTTGATTGCTCTGAGGAGCATGTTCCTCACAAGCATTGTTGTTCACCTTACAATCTTGTGTATCATTTGGCTGAAAGGTGAGGTCTGGTGGTGGCCTCATGTCCAGGCTTGAAGGGTGTCTAAGAGCCACAGTCTTGGAGTTCCACCTTTCTCTAACAGACAGGTAAATCTGGTCTTTTTTTTTTTTATGATTTTGAATTCTGTCCTACATTTTTCTCCTACTCTGTTCAGAATCTTCTACTGTGACCCCCATCAGAGTGGTCCACGGTGGTAGCTGGACACCATCTGGTTCTTCTGGTCTCAGGCTAGTGAACGCTGGGGTTTATCAGACCTGTTAGCCACCTCTCTCACACACCCCCATCATCCCTCTCACCTGCTCGAGCCCATCCACCTGTTCTTATGCACACTGTGACTCTGGTTTCTGCTTTCATCCCAATCTTATTTCTCAACGTTGGTGGAAGCCTTCTAGACTCTCCAGTTCTCTTTATGACCACTGCCATCTATTCTGCAGACAACCACTGGTTTGTTCTGCACTGACCTTGCCTTTATTAGCCACGTCCCTGCTGGAGAATATGCAGGGCTCCCTTCTTACCATCCCTTCCCCTTGGAGCTGCCCCCGACCTACCCTACTCTCCTGTCCTCCACTCTGAACTGCACTCTGCCACCCTTGTGATCATATCTCTCACCCTGTGCCTTTGCTCCTGCTATCAACCTCATGCCTAGAGAGCCTCCCCAGCCCCACCCTTCTCTCCATGACACCCATGCCTCTGGACGTAGCTTAAGTCCCACCTGCCCTGCCACCCCTCCTCTGACTATGACAAGGCACAAGTGACAAGTTCTTTTGAACCTCTGTTGGGCTTGTGAGCATTCCAAAACGTAGCCTCTAACTCAATGGTTCTCCAGCTTTTTGGTCTCAGATCCCTTAACACTTTTAAACATTATGATGATACCAAAGAGCCTTATTTATGTGAGTTATAGCTATCGATATTCACTGTATTAGAAATTAAAAGAAAGGAAAATTTAGTAATTCATTTAAAATAACAATATTAACCCACTACATGTTAACCAGGAAGGACTGGTCAACATTCATTCCTTTGTGCACAGGGTCTCTATGAGTTGGGGGCCATTGGCAGACAGCTAACATATTAACATGGCCTTTGAAAAGTGGGAAAGAATTGTATCTTTTAAGACAACAAGTTTGAGTGAGCTGTGGGTCGGAATTGACTTGATGGCACACACCACCAGCAGCAGCAACAACAAAGAAGAAGAATATGAACTAAACCAAAACCAAACCACTGCCATCCAGTTGATTCCAACTCATAGTGACCCTAGAGGACAGAGCAGAACTGCCCCGTAGGGTTTCCAAGGCTGTCATCTTTATGGGAGCAGATTCCTAGGCTTTTCCCCTGCACAGCTGCTGTGAGTTCGAACTGTGGAATTTTCAGTTAGCACCAACTGCTAACCACTGCACCACCTGGATGCCTTGCTATTTGACTGGACTTTGACAAGCATGTAGACTCCTTTGAGTTTCTTTCTTTCTTTTATTTTTTTAAATGCATTTTATTGAAATATAATTTATGTACACTGAAATACACAAAACTAA